GACTTCTGATTGTTTTGATTTGATTGCAGATTGCTGCAGTGAAAAGAGAAATTTGATTTTGTTCATAGTGTGCAGATTGAGGCTCATTCTGACTAAAACACTTAAAATTTTCTGCAAAATCAACATGAGTAGAAGCGACACTTGATGACGGATCCATGGATTAATACTTAGTTTAAAACATTTGTATTGGTTATGCTTGATACTGGCTAGGGAGTGACCGGGGCCCTGGCCCCAGCTAAAAATGAAATTTTTTGCAAACCTGGCCCTGGCAAAATGATAAGATTTAGCAGGGGTTGATAGCCTGGGCTAGAACAAAATTTATAATACTTTATATATTATAATTTTATGCTTACATTTACTATTTGTTAAATACCGGCATATATATATTTTTAAACTCTAATTTCCTTCCAACAAGATGGCAAGCAACTACTATTAAGTTATGAGTTACTTTAAAACAGAGAATAAGTTAAAACACTAGGAAACGGTTAACTGAAGACTTAAAAAGTTGTAGGCTGTATAAAAAAGGAAAACATGAAGATGGGTAAGAGTTATAAGTTTTTTTTAATGTTCAAGGAAAAAAACTGAATTAATGAAAGTTGCTATAGCTTGAAAGGACAGATACAGTAAAAGGATGGGATTTTTTGCAGTAAATAAATGAATTTTGTTGTCTACTTTAACTTTTTTGCAGTAAATAAATGAATTTTGTTGTCTACTTTCAACTACAGCCTAACACTTTTAATCTGGTTTTTGAACTATTAAAATTTAAAACAAGTTGGTACCATTGGTACCGACTTGTTTTAAATTTTAGAAGTTCAACGGCGGCCAAGAACTGTTTGAAAAACTTCAGATCTTTGCATTTGCTGCATTTGTTGAAGTAAAAATCATTTAATAAGTCCTTACAAATAAAATTTTCAGACATATCCTTCCCAGTTATAACGCTAGCCAACATTAAACGATTAACTTTCATTAAGGAGTTTAAAGTAAATCGCATGTTTTTGTAGTAAGTATAAACGCATATGTTGGTGGCAACTTTGCAAGAAATTGAACATTTATTGGTTGAAGTTCTCAAAACCTGCTTAATCCTTAAACCTGCTTATGCGGAAGTGGACTAGTTGTAGATTACTAGCCTCATAAGCAAGAAAATCCCAGTTTGATCCCCACCACGCCCCTGGTAGTACCGCGTCAGTCAAAGCTGAATTATTAATATTATTTAATGGGAGAGAAGTTTCTTTGTTGACTCATTCAGCAATGTGACTAAGACTTCGTAAAGTTTTGTGGGATCTGTAGACAATATTTTTTTTACTTTTTTGAGTAATTGTCCTTTTGTTTGAACATTCATAATGGCAGAAAAGTTCACTGATTGTATTCACTCATAGCAATTTACTTCCTTAATTGTAGAAACTTTATTTTTGAATCCATACTTTTGGACTCTTTCCTTTATTTTTTCTCTTTAATTTTGTTAACCTTTTGCTTAAACAACTTTTATTTAATTTATCAAAACTTACTGATATATAAAGTTTCAAAATTACTTAGGGAATTGCAATTTTCTTCGTAAGCAATCATAAATTTAAAAAATATATATTTAAATTATTTTAAAGCCCTGGGAGTTGCAATGAAAAATGTAAGTGTTCATTTTGTAAGCAACAAAAACTTTACAAAAAAAGCGCCAGAGCTTTGGTAAATGCGTGTAGTTTTAACTTACGTTACACAAATTCAAAATTAAAATTTATTTAAGCTTTATTTAAGCATCGTTTATTTATGCTTTATTTAAGCATCGTTATTCAAAACTTTAAATGTAAAAACAAAACATTTAACACTCTTTTACAAAATTATTAAAAAAGTTTTTTAACTGAATTTTAGAAAAAACAAAACTTTATCATGTTTTTGCTAACTTACATTACATGATAATAGCAAAAGTTCTTTCATTATATTCTTGAAATATATATATTTTAAAATCTGACCAACAACAAATTGAAAATGTTAGCTCCATCTTTACACTAAATTAATTTAGATTATGCAAATAAATTTGTAATAAATAACATTTTATCATGATACTATTTTTATCATGCAACAATGAGAAAAACTGTAACTTTCGGAAGGATAAAAATGACTTAAATCAATTAATTTTAGTATTTTAAAACAAATTAACTTTAGTAGTCTTGAATAAATTAATTTTAGCACTTAAGGTATACTTTAAATAAACTTTTAAGTGTCTACATCATATAATTATATATGATGTAGATACATAAAATATATTAATATTCATTTGCTAAAAGTTGAAAAAAAAGAGAATAAAATTTGGCTACTTTTTCATTTTTTGTACATGGGCATTTCCATGCCTTAGAATTGCCCATGTACTAAAGTGCCAATCTTTTGTTATGTTATATTCAACATTATATTCAATGCCAAATGCACTTTAATTACAAAAAGTGATTATATTTTAGTTATCAAACAGAAATTTAGTAGTTGTCTTAAGCTATGGTGAAAATATATACTTTTAATATCAGTGCCATATTGATGCTTTTGGAGACCCTAACATAATGCTAAAATAATAAGCAGCACACTGTCATAATAATTAGCTGGTGTGCTGCTAATTACTGTGACATTAGTGTGCTGCTAATTAATTTCATCAAAAAATTTCTTTCGGATTTGTGGCTGCAAATCAAGTCTGAATCAAGCAACAACTTCATGGCTTACCCTTTTGTTTTGTCAAATCGTTTGTTTACATTCAAAATAAACTTTTTTGACAATGCAAGCAATTCTCAACAAATTTTTAGTATCATTTTTCATACCAAATTTTGTGCACTGTTGGGATTTTTTGCATAGAAGTGATCTATGCAAAATTCTTTCCCAAGGAATTTTTAACAGTGCAAACTCAAACTCTTTCATTTTCATCACCAAATTGTCTGCTTCAGCTCATGATTATGTGTCAAATGTTCTCACATATTAAACCAATGAATGGTCTCACATATTAAATTCAATGAATGGTTCTCACATATTAAACCAATGAATGGTCTTACATATTAAATTCAATGAGTTCAAAATATCATAATGGTATTTTATTGTGGTAATTGACTTTTTGTTTGCATTCCATCACATTTTAGATAATAACTTCAAAGTCTTTGCGGAATATTTTTTAACCACCTGCCATTGTTTTGCAGAAGTAGCAAAAAACTTGTAAATTACTTGAGCGAATGCAAAAAATTTATCAATTTTATGCAACATTTGACTCCTGCTATTTAAATCAAATTTAAGGAATTGCCTGCTCAAGATTAAAATATTGCGTAAGAATTTATATTTGTAATCATTTTCTACATAAGGAAAAGCTGCAACTTATTGCTAAGCTTACTTATGTGAGTTATGTAAGGTGTATAATCAACTAAAACTCCAAAGCAACCAGAAGATTTTACATCATGGATAATTGACTGCAACAATTTTTAATCATTAAATGGACCATCTCTTTAAATGTTGACTTTGACAGATATGAAGCCTTGCCCAAAACTTCCATTAATCCTTAATTTCCGAAATTTTCAATGTGTCTAAATCAATCTATGAACATGTCAAATTGTGCTCAAGTAGACCTACAAAGTTACCATTACCATAATTTTCATTTGAAACACGAATTCTGAACCAATCCAATAAAATCTCGCAAGACTTTATGCTTTTCTCATTTACGATTTGATTTAGTAATTGGTTTGAAAGACAATATTATGCACGCTGAGTGTAATATATCAGGCATAGAAGCAGTCTATGCTCTGCAGAGTTTTTATGACATTTCAGTGCAACTGATACATTTTTCTAGTCTTTGAATCTAGTTGTATCCATATGAACTAGGAATAAGAAAAATTTTTTATACATAAAGCAATAAACAGCCCCAATAGTTAATGGAGTAAATAAGTAATAATAAATGGGTTAACAGAGTAACCATTCTTGAAATAGCTCCTCTGATTGAATTGACGTTAAAATTTTAACTGTTTAATCTCACTTTAGGCGGCAGAAACTTCTTTTCAAAATCTTGATTTCAAATCTCAGCTAAGTAATCTTTTACCACATAATTTATTTTCCAGTAATATTTTTCAATGTTTTAATGAAAAATGAATCTATTTTTGGAAGTTTTGTTTTGTTGCTTTAGTTTCTTTTTTTTTAAATATTTTTTAATAACAATTCGTATCCTATAAAAATAGGAAAATGATTAAAAAAAGTTTAAAAAAACATTTCAAATCAGTTTATGATTGGAACATTTTTTTGAAATACATTAAAAATTAATTAAAAATTTAACCAAAAAAAAGTTATTCTGTGAGGCTCATAAGCACCTTAGGAGGCCCAAGGCCCTAGGTGCTTTTGAACCCTATTTTGTCTACTTATGAATGTAATATTTTGTCTAATTGTTAATTTAAAACTGAAACTATTCTATATACTTGTTCTTATTACCTCCTTTTTAAATTATTTAATGATTTTCTTTTTACTTTCTTACCAGTCTTGCCACAATATTTAAACTTTTTTTTAAAGAAAAGGTGTTTACCATTACAATAATGTTGTAACATTGTACAATAGCCTGTTACTAGGAAAAAATAATCTTAAATTACAGAAAATTCATTCATTGCAATCAAAAAATGATAAAAGTGGTCTTAATACCCTCTTAACTTATGTTAAATTGATCACCAAACTAAGTATTATTTATTTTAAAACTTAAGTTGAACTTTTAATACATTTAAAATTTCTTAATATAAAAGTTCTTAGACTTAAACAATATAAAAATAGAAAGTGTTTTAATAACAACAGAAAGTATTTTAAATAGTATTGGAAAACTTAAACTATTTTTACTATTGGAAAATGTATTAACTCTTTTATATTTAAATATATTTCTAACTATAGTCATACTTTTTAGATATTAGTAGAGTATTAGCTAATACAACTAATAATAATTCAAAATTTGTTCAAATATTTTTCACAGAACTAAAACTAGTTTGAAGTATTTCCACAAAAAAGTTAAAACAAACCTATTTATTCTTTGAGATCCACCAAACAATACCATTTTATCTTGAATAACTGATGCACTATGTCCAGCTCTTGAAGTTGGTGAGCATTTAAGGTTTAGCCTTTGCCATCTTGATTCATGTACATGAAATATTTGTGTATCATCAAAAAATCTAGGACCAATAATCACTCTATTTCGAGGAGGTTGACACCAGCCGCCAAATATAATAAGTTTTCCAAGATATGGTAAAGTTCTGTAAAGGTGTTTAGAAGATTTTTGTTTGTATGCTACCATGCTACAACATTCTCTTGGAGCAGGCATTAATCCTTCTGTTTTAACTTTTTGCCATGTTCGCATTGATAAATCTAATCTATGCAAATCATTATAAGTACTTGAACTAAAATTTGATTCTGAAGTTGAACCACAAAATACATACAAATACCGACCAAGTACAACTGCAGAATGAGAGAATCTTGGGAAAGGTATGTTTATGTTGGGCAACTGCACTTTTGATCGCCTTGTTTTACCTGACCAAGTACCTGGTACTAGAGTATCTATTATGTTATAGGAAGACTGCTTATGTATTTGCCATTTTATGTTTCCATTATGAAGACTTTCATAAAATATTTTTTTACTGTGGGACTCATTTGTTGATATAATACGATTCCATTTACGGTTCACAAGTTTTGAATGTTTAATATCGGTGTATGGTGACAAGTATGAGAATATTTTTATAATTATTTCATCTGGAAGTTCGCTAAAGTAGCTAAAATGTCCATCTTCACTTATATCTTCTATTTCAATGTTTTCCATTTTGAGTTTTTGTGTGCATCAGTATTAGAATAATTGCTTTCTTCGCACTTTATGTGTTTGTTATATAAACTAATAGAAAAATATAAAATTTAATAATTCAAAAAACACAACAAAAATTTACAAGTTATTAGAATAAAATTTTTGAATCAAAATAAATAAAAGCAATGTTTTATATTTACGTCTAATATCGTCCTATAAACAGAAACTACGTCACCGGTTGTTACTTCTTCTATAGCTCAACTAATCGCAATAGTTACAGATTATTTTTTATATACAAGTTTTATACGTAGATTATACTTTATTTGTTTGCTTGTTATGTAGATTATAGTTTATTTATGATCGAAATGTCTTTTAAATTAGAACTGATTAGTTTTATAAAAGGTCGGTTTACTTACTGAAAAAATACCATACTTGTCCGTTTTCTTTTTTAATTTTCCTCTTCCGATTTTTAACCAACTGTATATATTTCGCCCGTATAAACGAATAAACGAATAAACGAATTTAAACTAAAAAACTAATTATAAAGTAAAAATTGTTTTCTTAAAAAGGTTTACGTTTTACTAATGCACGTTGTTAAACTACTTTTTTTAACTTTTTTTACTAATCAGGTTACAAAAAATAATATTCAGAACTGTTGAATCTACAAACCAGGGTCGACGACACGGGTTTCGAAATAAGACTTAAAAAAACAAAAACAATAGTTTTGTATTTATTTTTCGGGCACCATTGCATATAGGTTAACGAACTTGTTTTAGCAACAAACTGAATAGTGACCACGTTACCGTAATTCCCTTTCTTTGTCAGATTCAATTGAAAAACGAAACAGCTGCTACAAAAACTTTGTCTCGTAGCTCTTGATCAATAGCAATTAATGGCACCCCCCACGTGACACCTACTCGTGCCGGCCCTGTATATATATATATATATATATATATATATATATATATATATATATATATATATATATATATATATATATATATATATATATATATATATATATATGATATATATATGATATATATATACATATATATATGATATATATATATATATATATATATATATATATATATATATATATATATATATATATATATATATATATATATATATATATATATATATATATATATATATATATATATATATATAATACCCGTTATCCGCTGTACAAGGAATTAGCTTAATGCTAAAACTTAAAACTTATAATAGATAATTGCTACTCAGAGTTTTATAAGTTACCGCAATTAATAAAAAGGCAAGTAGTAAAAACTTGATTTTGCAACAGTTTGTTCAGTTATGGCTTACTTATGTGTTTTAGTTTGTTTAGAGGCAGAAATTGTATATTATTTATTATGTTTCAATATTATAAAATTTATTTTTATAATATTGAAACATATTAAAATATATAGATATAAAAATGTAAAGATATTAATTAAATTATGAAATATATTACATGAGCTATGTATGCAAACATTACTACTTGCCTGATGAATGTGGTTCACATGAAACTCTGTGTAGTAGTAATCTGGGTAAAGGTAACTAATATATTGTATTATATTACTTTAGCTTATCTATATAGCACCCTTTAAAGTATTCAAAAATATGCAATGTATTTTTTTGTATATATATATATACAATGTATATTTTGTATATTACATGTATAATACATAATAATAAAAAAGTATTTACTTAGTATTTACATATGAACATTTACACATACACATACATTATAATATAATATAATATAATATAATATATATATATATATACATATATATATATATATACATATATATATATATATATATATATATATATATATATATATATAATGATTATATATATATATATATATATATATATATATATATATATATATATATATATATATATATATATATATATATATATATATATATATATATATATATATATTATTTTTATTTATATATATTTGTTTGATATATGGTTTTAACTGATATAAAATAAAAAAGTTGTTAAACCAGTAAACAAACAATTCACAAACTCCAATAAATCTTATTGTTTCAAAATGTTTTATATAAAGTATAATTTTAAAAAATATACTAATAGAAAAATTTAAATTTAAATCTATTGACACCAGAGGAATCGTCGATTTTTGTTATTGTTGCAATATTATTGTATGGAAAAATAAAAAGCGTAAGTTACACATTGCTACCAAGAGCAACTATTGTAATGAAAAATTTGTAATTAAATACAGGAAATATCAATTAAATCTATAACGCTTTTGATTGCGCAAATGCTTTTCAAATGGTTGGAAAAAAAAACATCACTCTTATTGTTAAGTTCAAAAAAGAAAATAAGTTGGAATAAAGTTCAAAATAACTACTTCGAGCACGTTGACAAGTAAAAACATGGTTTTCAAACTTATTAATGGATAGGCAGTAAAAAAGTAATTTTATTACCTTTATCATGTATATATGATAAACATTTAAAGTAATAAATTACTTTTTCACTGCTTCAAATGGTAGCACTTTTAATAGTACCGTTATATAATATCATTAGATGTTTCAAACTCATCTGTTTCTAAAAGCTTAACACAGTTAAGGAGAGATCCGAAGAAAAATATCGCGTTTAGCCCGTTTTTTTTTCAAAAAATGCCGTTTTATTTTGTGCTGACTGGTTTATTTTTTGAAAAAATCTCGAAGCTCGTTGTATTATTTTGTTTACAAATATTCGGTGATTTTATTATCGAGTTACAAGTTTTAGCTTTAATAGCTTAAAATATTTAATAGCTTAAATACTATGGAGCAAAAGTTGTATAAAAGCTGAAATTTTCTTTTTGATAATTTATTGAAAAGACTTTAAAGAGATTAAGGAAGTAAATTGCTATGAGTGAAAATTTATGTGAAAACTTCGATTTTACCGTTTTCACTGTTTACGAAAAGATAAAATTATGAGCTTATTAGCAATTTATTAAATATTTTAATGCTGTAAACAAGTAGACTTTTTACTTTTGAATAAATGAGACATTTTTGGAATGTAAATACTCAGCACAATTGTTTCAACTGTATTGGGGTCGTCCATAAAGTACGTACGCCAAAAATTTTGAAATTAGACTCCCCCCTCCTTTAAAGTACGTACGTTTTTAAAATACCCCCTCCCCATTTTTTGTTTTTTTCAATAAAAAAGTTTATTAAAAAAAAAAAGGCGGCGGAGGTACCTTAGATACTTTATACAAACCCAAAGCCCTTTGTTTACGACACAGGATCCCAATTTAAAAAACTTCTTTAATTATATATACAAATATTAATTTTGATAAAGTTAAATTACAAATTTACGATGCGTTGGCTTGGCCGCGGAGTAAATGTTGTAAACTTCGATGGTGGAGACCGGAGATCGTTACCCGGTCAAGTCGTATTATACTTTTTTTTTGTTTCAATGACGAATCAAATAAAGATAAACTATACTTAAGGCGAACGTTTTTTTCAGGCACCCTTCTTTGGTAAGTCTGTAAAAAATGAGTTTTGTGCGAAATCAGTATTGAAAACAAAGCCTAAAAACCAGTGCCGAGGGTAGGCTACCCAATTCCTTAATTAGGAGGTGGAATGGGAGCAACAAATTTGTGCTTTGTTGCTAATTTAAGGAGCTTTTCATTTTAGCAAAACCTAGCGGTAAAATTTGGAAGATTTTGATACCCTAATGACACATTTTTTTGGGAGGGTCACGGCAATGATAAAACCTTTTTTTTGTTGACTCAAAAATAGGTTGCCAGAAATACTCCTTACTCAGGGTCAGTATATAAAGGGTGGCATGGACGCCCGCATGCTTTTTTGATGTTCCCAAAAGGACACTTTTATACATTGTGCAAACTTCAAATTTAAGAATGATTGTACCTAAGCAAAATGAGAAGACCTTACAAAAAATTGGGATGGCATAGATCTGGGAACAAAAAGCTCTAAAACGCTTTCCCCCTTCCTTCCTCCCAAACGTGAGGACACTAATGTAGTAAAATTTTCAGCTTTACCATCAAAAACTTAATTTAAATTTATCGACAGATTTTAAATTTTGTAAAAAAATATTGTAAATTACAAAAGTTATGACCATGCAAAATTAACACCACCCTCATTTTGGGGTGGGGGTCAGAAAATTTGCATAATCATAACTTTTTCTATTTATAAAATTTGTCTTCGATGTCTTCGAAGTTTAAAATCTGTCAATAAATTTAATATATATATATATATATATATATATATATATATATATATATATATATATATATATATATATATATATATATATATATATATATATATATATATATATATTAGCTAAATTCTCTATTGCAAATATAATAACATAGTAAAATATCATTTTTAATTATTGCAAGTTTTCCTAACAAGGTAAGGTCCTAATTTTTATATTTAACCTACTTTTTTATATTTTAAAAAATGTGTAAACCATACTTAAACTTTCTTTATAAATAGCTTCAACACGATGGATAACTCATGCAAGAAACAACTGAGACAAACTAGGTTAAATAAAGTAGCCATGGCGCAGTGGTAGCGCACTTGCCTCAGAAACGTAAGTTCCCTTGCTCAAAATCCACCCCAATCTGGGCAAGTTTTGCGACATCGGTTGGGAAGGAGGCGTAAACTTCCTATTAAATGTTCTTCTGCGGTGCTCTGTAATAAGACCGTGAGGACTTCTTGAGGCACCTTAATCAACTTAAAAAAAAAAATAATAAAAAAAAAAAATATGTTTGCATTTGCTAAGAAAGCTTGCATTGAGCTTGCAATATTACAAACCGCAGAAGATGGATTACTTTGTGAAAAATCTAATCAGTTCAAACCGTAGCTACTGATAATCCAGATGATCTACGCATAGACAAGAGAGAAGACGCTGGTTGCAAAAGTACTCGCAATCTCAAATTTTCACCTTATATGGATATTGATATAAGTTGATCGAAATACGATCCTCCTATGCAGCCTAGTTTAGAAGTATATTCTTTTGATGCTAAAAAGAGACGTTTTACTTCGGCTTATTTTAAGAAAAATGACTGGATTGAATAAAGTGTTAAAAAGAATGCTGTTTTTTGTTTCGTTTGCCGACGTTTTGCTGGAAATTCAACATTTAAAAGTGAGACAGATGGAAAAAAAACATTCATTGATATAGCTTTTTCAAAATGGAAAGATATGAAAGCATTGTTTGAGCAACATAATGAAAGTTTACGTCGCAAACACTTAATGTTATCCTGAACCCAATTGATATCAATATCAAACAAACTTCAACCATCTATTTTTACATTGGTTACAATCAACAGATCAAAG